TAAATGATACATTTTTTWAAAAATAAGAAAGACAACACAGAGTTAAAGTGGTGAACAGATGGAAGAGAGTCAAGAGACATAGAGGTTTATCTCACAAAAGATGAATATGTCAGTAATCCAGACAGAAAAAACATGCAGTTTTTTCTAACATTTTTGTTTATTTTTTTTTAATTGCTTGTCTGCCGAGTGTGCCTTTACACAATCTGACAAAAACTACCAAGCTTTGTGTAACTACATCATGTCTGCACCATGGTGGAAATGAAACCAGCTTAAAAAAATAACAGCTCAAAAGATTAAATACAATCTTTTGTAATCTCTTACTTTCACACAGTACACAAAGGGTGACCCTCTTATTCTGACCTACCAAAGCAAAGACAAAACAAGGCTACAATAGATAAGAGGACCTGTGTTTACTGAGCCATTAGGAAGTGTTTGAGTCAAAGAAGCCATTTACTATTGCCTGCTGTCATGAGGTATTTCCTCCGACAGCTTAAAGACTATAACCACACAGGCAGAGGAGGAAATGTCAATATTTCCTGACTAGAGGAGTTGGCAGTTGCTGAAAGCTGTTTCCGACAAACGACTAGAATAACTGCTTTTCAAGCTGGTCGGGTCATATGACCAGTGGACATCCCAACCAGAGGATGGCATGACCAACTAATGGCCCTTATTAAAAACACATGAATAAGCAGTTTGACCTAACAAAGAAAACACTGAAGCACGTAAAACACACAGTATGAATTGGTACATGATGTATTTGGCTGTGGAATTATAACCCCAACTCCAATGAAGTTGTGAAAAACAAACAGAATATTTGCAAATCCTTTCCAACCTATATTCAGTTGAATACACTACAAAKACAAGATATTTAATGTTCAAACAGATAAACTTCATTGTTTTTTTTTGCAAAGTTTCACTCGTTTGAATCTGATACCTGAACACGTTCCAATAAAGCTGGGACAGGGTCATGTTTACCGCTGTGTTACATCACTTTTACTTTTAACAACACTTAATAAGTGCTTGGAAACTGAGGACACAGTTGAAGCTTTGTAGGTGGAATTCTTTCACATTCTTGCTTGATGTACAACTTCTGCTCAACAGTTCGAGGTTTCCGTTTTGGTATTTTATGCTTCATAATGCTCCTCACATTTTCAATCGGAAACAGGTCTGGACTGCAGGCAGGTCAGTCTAGTACCTGCACCTTTTTACTGCGAAGCCACTGTTGTAACACCTGCAGAATGTGGCTTGGCATTGTCTTGCTGAAATAAGCAGGAATTTTCAGCAATAACKGTGTCTTCAAAGAYAGCAAGTTACCCATGCCATGGGAACTAACACAACCCCATACCATCAGAGATGCTGGCTTTTGAACTTTGTGCAGGTAACAATCCGGACAGTCCTTTTCCTCTTTAACCCAGAGGACACAACGGCCATGATTTCCAAAACATTTTCAAATGTGGACTCGTCAGACCACAGGACACTTTTCCACATTGTGTCAGTCCATATCAGATGAGCTCAGGCCGAGAGAAGTCATTAGTGTTTGTGGGTGTTAATATCTGGCTTTGGAGGGTAAAATTTTAACTTGTGCTTAGATATAGCAATTAACTGTGTTCACTAACAATGGTTTGGTTTTCTGAAGCATTCCTGAGCCCATTTGGTAATATCTCTTACAGAATGATGTCAGTTTTTAATGCAGTGCTGCCTGAGGGATGGAAGGTCTCAGGCACTTAGTGTTGGTTCAGGCCTTGCCTCTTACTTGCAGAGATTTGTCCATATTCTCTGAATCTTTTGATTATATTATGAACTGTAGATGATAAAATCCCTAAATTCCTCCCAATTGAGAAACATGTTCTTAAACTGTTGGACTATTTGCTTAYGCAATTGTTCACAAAGTAGTGAACCTTGTCTCATCCTTAATTGTGAACGACTGAGCCTTTCAGGGGTGCTCCCATCATATCTAATCATGACGCTCACCTGTTTACAATTAAACTTGTAGAATGTTGAAGGTGTTTTCGGAGCCTTTCTCAACTTTCAGTCCTTTGCTGCCGCACRCCAGCGATAAATGGATATATTACCCCAACACCTCCACACAAAAGAAAAATACTGTTTTTGACATTTTGTAGGACAGAAGCTAGAGTTTGGAAATACCTGACATTCATCCAATTGGAAACAAAACTGATTTACTCYATCCAAAGAGCCTTCTTTTCATAAAGAATGTCCAGGTGAGCAGGGAGTGCATGATTTTATATTCAGAGGCCTATAGAATAAAAATTACAGCCTATCTTTGATGAACTAGTTTCAGTTATAAAATTGCCCTCCGCAGTCAATTTGCCAAGTGCACATTGCCCATTAGCGCACTTTCTTTTCAAGCTTCATTTGCCATGAAGTGAAATTGCTGCAATTTTAGACTTCGGGAGACGTTAATGGCATCTCATCATCCAGGCAGAAAAAGTATTTCATCAAACCAGTGACCTCATCATCCAGGTTGTCCAGGCATGCAGTGTGAAATGATATCAGGGAGACAGCAGGGCACCATGGGAAACATGAGCTGTGACTGCGAATGTGTAGGCAGGATTAAAAGCCCAGGAATGAAAAGCTCTAAATGCATCAATGGGTCAGCTCAAGTTAACAGAGCAACATGAGGCAAAATGTTTCTTCTCAGGTAATAAGATGAAATCTGTAGCATATAATTCCTTTTTAAGCTACAGCTAGAGACYGTTTGCTCAAACTGAAGATGTTTAGTTCCATCTGCTGTTCAGATGGCAAACTACGCTTTGTCCTTATAGTTGACAATAGCTCCTACTTTGAGAAACATGTAGACTTATTTCTTTTGCAAATCTAGGCAATCATGATACTCAAATTTTAGGTTTATTAGTTTATTGTTCAAAGCTTTAAAAAGAACAATACTTACTTTAAATAAATGAAATGTATTTTTTCACTAGAACATTTTGATTTTTGTTTAGCTTTGTAAAGTATTTATCAATGGTTAAAAATCTGATTCTTGAAGGAATCAGTTGTTTAACAGAGCCTGTTACATATWATTTATTAAAAGGGGGAGATTTTGTATTTTTCAGACACATGCTTAATTTCTATACCACAAACAAGTAACTATCTTACCTCCAGTTATGAAAAAGATGTTTAAATAATAAATAAATAAATTTWAAAAATCTAAAYGCCTTGAAATTGACCTCTGGCTCTTTAAGAACCTCCTAACATTWCAGACACTCCCACTTCAGCATGCCTTCAAAGCTTTGGGTGAGGGGTGCTCTGTGGGGGCAGAGCTCAGCTGCAGACTGAGCTCCAGGGAGGAGCTTTGTGTAAACGGGCAGAGCTTTGTACCAGCAAGTGTTTAGGCAGCTCTACAGGAGATTCAGGGATTTCTCTAACATACATGAATGAGTCAAAGCAACACAGAGTATGGTTTTAATGACAATGATAGCATGATATAATGCTGCAAAAAAAGGTCAATTTTAAATAATGCCCCCTTTTAATTAACGTTTATTTAAGCAGGAATAGCCCAATGAGATCACAGATCTATTTTGCTAGGGAGACCTGGACTTTAAGACAACCTGCCGTTCATGTTGTTGGACTGTGAGACAAAACCAGGAACCAAGAACATGCAAACTCCCCATAGAAAGTCCCCTGATCCCAAGTTAGGATTAACCCAGGACCTTCTTGTTGCTGTGAGGCATTAGTGCTAAGTCATTGTGCCAACACCATGATCATGCTGCATTTTTGCATGCTGTCGGAAGCAGTCAGCAGTGGTGGGCACAGTTCCCCTAAAACACTAATAGGAGAACTAATTTCTTGATTAGTGCTTTTGCTAAATTTACAATTTATTAGTGGATTAGCACTTGCTAAATTTATAGGCTAAATTCAGAAGCACTAACTGAGGTCTATAAATGTTATTGATCAATGTTAATAGCTGAGGGTTAAAGCTGTCATACATTTTGTTTATGTGTCACTTATCCACCCAGGWGACAATATGTGAATCCAAATACAGCTGTGGAATGTCAAKAAGTCTTAATAGAGCAACATGGYARTATGTGACTCATGTTGTCTGTTGAACAATGTTCATGGGTTGACTGGTTTTTTTTAGTGCTTTAGAATTAGCTTTTGATAAAACTTTCAGTGCATTGGTGCTTTAGGGGACCTAAATATTTGGGATAGTGCTAGTGGAACTAATTTTTAGATTAGTGCTGTCCACCACTGATAGCAATGTTTGTTTTAGTATCATATCAACCACTGGTCACATTTTTAAAAATGTAAAAGTAACCATTGGGTGTCCATCTACAACTAATTCACTTTTTAAGCCAGCTGACCTTAAATAACAAATATTTTTATGTGGGTTGTAGCAGTCATTCACAACACATATCCTGAAGACTAATGGATTCTGCAAGATCTTTGCTTAAAATGTCATTAACAATGTGAATTTGTCCCTGTCTGTTAACTGTAAGAGGAAAGTCTTTTCAAGATGGACACCGCAGCCAACTGACCTTGGAAAACACATAAAATGGGTTTAAATTGGTCAATTTGAGCCAAGTCATTCACTCTAAAACACTGGAGCRCTCATACCTGACAAGATCTCAGAAATTTAGGTGACAGAATAACTTCATTTACAGGGTTGGACTAAAAATGAATATAACTCAGTCCCTTGGACTGAAAGGCCCAATGTTGTAGCAGAAAAACTGTTCGAGGATTTAAAGAWCAGTTTGAGGAACCTTCTTTATCTTTGTCCATCCATTCTCTTCGGTTTGTCAGGTYGCAGGGGCAGCAGGTTGAGCAGGGGGACCCAGACATCTCCTTTCACAGCCACTTTATSTAAATCATTTCGACCATGTATCTGTGATCTTTTTCCTTCAGTCACTACCCAAAGTTCATGGCCGTAGGGGAGGGTAACGTACACCGACCGGTAAACAGAGAGTTCCACCTTACAGCTCAGYTCCCTCTTCACCATAATGGACCGGTACAAACTCTATCCCCATTCAGAAACCATCACGGCGGAGTGTTGGACTTTATTTTATTTAATACCACCGAAAAATCCTTGTGTGTGCTACATATTTTAGGAGTTGCTTCAAACAAGTAAAAAGCTTATTTACAGGTAGACAGTTCAACATATACGTGTGTAGCTCTACACTTTGTGAATCCTGAAACTGTATTTTTTATGATCAGCAACACGCTTATTTAGCGAAACATTAGAAAACAGAATAAATTTAGAAAAAATAAAAACATGCATAGACAAAGATTACGGCGACAAACACTGATCTTTGGGCAGCTGTTGAAAGCAGCTGACATGATCTAAATGTTCAACAGGTGTGTGAACATTTACCACTGACATGTGTTTAAATATGTTTCAGCATTCAAAAGGGGACAAGCATACTAATCTAGCAAATTACAATAAGAATAATGTACATCATTAAGCAAAGATTAAATAATAATTGCACCATGATCTTGTGTGATAGGATGAGAAAAAAAAATAGCTGTCAAAAAGAAGCATAGTTTCCCCTTTACTGGTATGACACAGATGTTTTCAGGAAGAAGAAAAAGTCTTTTCAGATGTACAGCACATTAGGGCCTTCTGCGTCTAAAAAACAAATAAAGATGAAGTAAGCAAACTCAAATGCAAACTTGATTTACAGAGCAAACATGCAGAATATTTTAGCTTACTTTTGATATCCATTGCTTGAACTCGATCCTGGCTGTGGAGCCTAAACAAAAGTAAAGTAAAAAATATATACTTTTCTTATATTATTAATAATAAATTCTTAGTTAATGAATTATTATGTTTTGCAAGACTTACCATGTTTTCTACATCTTCTATTTGATCTGGTCCCTCTTGAGACCCTGATCGCCTTTTACGGCTATAAAAAAAAAGTGATTTGTTTATTAGACAGAGCAGAATTCAATTATCATTTTCATAAAAGTCAACACAAATTAAGAGAAAATGTATTTGTTTACATTTACCTCTATTAAAAGTAAGAATTTGTACAAAAAAATTACAAACTTCTAGTTTTAAGATTTAAAAACTACAGTATAAAAAAACTGAATAACAAAATATTAAAAGTAGAAATTTCCAAGAAAATATTCAAACACAAAACTGGATTTTCTGATTAAGGTTTTGTATTATGTCTCAAGTTTTTAAACTCAAGAATTCATTTTTAGTAAAAAATTTAAAAGCAGCTGGAGAGGTTTCTGTTTTTATCTGAGTAAAATTCAGCTAATTTTTATTTACCCACCCTGCTGTCTTTGGGTCAAAATGACCCCCAAGACCTAAGTTTAAAAGCTGAGGCCTCTGAGGTCCTGTTGACCCAAAGGCAGCATGTCAGACTTACAAGGATCAACATGAGTCAGATGATTGAGGTCTGAGTTATTTATGTCTTTTATTTTTGGTGCATTATCAAGGGTTGAAATGTTTGAAGAAAATTTATCATTTTAGTTTCAGAAATATTTAAATTTCTATTCTCTCCATTTATTTAAAAAATACAGCGACAGCATCATTAGAAGGTACTTTATTAAAATAGCATCTCCTCACAATTCTGCTGCTTATTAACGAACGTAAAAAAAAATAACCCTGTTGCATTTTCGCCATTGCTGAATGTAGTAAGCAACTCTTCAGTGACGTGCACGAATAGAGTTAATGCACAAYGTAAATGTATGGAGATATTAATGTGCTTCTATTGTGAAAATCCTGGAGGAAGTAGTTTTGTATCGGGGTGTGGTTGACTGCTGCATGGAGGCTGAGTCGTCCTATTAGGTTTCATAAAATAATACAAAATGATGGACTCAATAATAATCTTTGCTCAACTCTCCTCCCTCACGACTRTACCAAAATGTGACTACTGTCTACAACAAGGCACAGAAGAAGACATGTTGAGGAGGGAAACAGCAACACACAGAAAAAAAAGTCAATGAATACCGGTAGTTTTTTGTGTTGCAGAAAGAGAGTAACTTCAGCTGACCGTGGTTTACTGGTCAATAAGCAGAATCTGTACATTTTATAATCAGCAGAGCTGTTATGAAAAGAAAAATACCATCAAATACGGTGATAGCAGTACACTTGTTGAAAATMCCATGATATAAATTTTGGGTCATACCGCCCAGCACTAATGCTGCTACACAAATGTTAAAACAAATAACTAGTAACAGCTTTACGTCACATTATTGTCATTATTTTTATATAATACTCTACCAACATGTGAGCACAGAAACTTATATTTAAGAAAGTTTTGTACCTTGGTGCTGTTGGACACTCTTGTCTTAGTGTCTCAATGTCAGTAAACTGCACAGCTTGTCCTCCACCTCTGGTCCTAAAAACATCTCCCTGCGGAAAATTAAAAAATAAAAATAAAATAAAAAATAAACTTAATTTGATTTAACAACTTTCCACYAATGACTAAAACACATCCCAAAAATGAAAACTGATTTTGATCAGATTGTTTGATTGAATGAAGACAATAAAGTCAATCACAAACACATAATAATCAGACATCTTAGTTTTACCTTGATTAGTTTGGTCTCGATCTCCCCGTCAGAGGCAAGCTCTTGGTGTCTAAGCACGTATCTGTGACATTTAGACAGAGCTTTCTCGTTGGGGGTGGACACTTTGATTGCATTGGGTACGATTGGCTGCATTACAGTGTCTAGATCCAAATTAGAAGAGGGTTTGTGGTCTACCCATTTCTCCCCACCCGCAGAGTGCGAGCGCCTGTGCCTCGGGTGAACCGGAGGAACCGTCTGGTGATCCCAAAGTGAGAAACAGAAATTAGGAAGTTATTCACACGTGGAACCATTTCAGGTTTGTCACGGTTAGTAGTGAGAAAAAGTTTCTTTGGGTGAAGATGAGGTGTTAGTTCGTAGTAAAGAAAAATGTATTACTGGAAGGCACTACTAGAAGGGATTTTAATAATACTCGATACTTGTTTGGGATATTTTTAACGTCTCCATGATTTGATCCTACACTTTAATTACATCCACAACAAGGCCTCCAAGCAATACAATATGTGTATTGGAAATTTCCCAACATAGTGAGAGATAGTTTGCATGCAAAGCAGAACAAATAGTAGCAAAGAAATGAATCTAAAAAAGTGTGAGACAAGAGTCAGCTGCATAGAACCACAAACTAGCAGTTATTMTGGTAATTAAAGAAATGATCAAACGTGGGTGTGACAGAAAATGACTAATTCAAGAAAATTATTAAGCATTTGTTTAATGACATTTTGATGATTTTGTTAGCTGCAAGTTTTGATTTTGACATTTCAAAATTCGGCTTATTTTTTTAAGAGGTCAACCAAAACATTTTGTGAGCTAGTGCCAAACTTCAGCCAATGGTCAACGTACAACACTAACCACTTGTTAGTCAATGTGTATTTTTAAGTGACAAAATTAAACAATGTCAATTCTTGGCAATAAATCATGTACCGTTGAAAAGCCAGTTAGTTTCTCTTTTAAATGGTGCCASATTTGTAAGGAACATGCATTTGTGGGATGAGCGGTAGAGCTGAGTGTGTGAGTTGCACACATGAAAAATTTGCCAAATCTTCTCTGCCAAACCACTTATTGTATATCTATGCACTGACACTTGTTTTGAGCATCTGTTGCCCCCAGGTGCTGCCAATCAGGTGCCCGCTTTAAGATTTATTGCCAAGAAGCATYGTTAATAATCTACCAAACACAAATTTGGGTGAGGGGGCCTATCCTTGGAAAGCTTGCTCTTGATCCAAGATGACGGCCATGTTCAGGACACAGACTAAAAGAAAGGACCCCTCAACCTTTCCTTGCTGGGACACTCAGAGATGTCTTTTTCTATTTTTATTTCTGAAATAAAAGCGTGTCCTGAGTCTTTTGACTCACCCTGTAGTTAAAGCAGGTTGATGTTCTTAAATACAATCTTCAAAATGTTCATTCTGCCAACTAACACATCAAGAAAAGGTTTACTTTAATTTTTTAACTCTATCTGTAGCAGACGTCTAAATCCCTGCACAAACTAAGGATCTTCACCCTGGGCCAAAGAAACCAACAGCAGAACTGCACTGAGTTGCATCCTTTTCCCATACCGCATTGATGAGTTTGTTTCTAGATATTTTGATTTTCATTTATACACTACCCTCACAGAAGGAACAATGGTGTTGCTGCTAAAATGTACTGTGCAGGCAAAGCATAAAAACTCAGTTCTTAGATGAAAGAAAAGATCAAGAAAATATTTGACAGTTCAAAGAAACAGAAAAAATAACGAATCTACATGGATGTTTCTACTTAAAGTATTCCTAAACAAGCACACATCTACTGACAGCGTTAAGGGTTGAAGATCTACACCAAGAGAAGGTCTACCTACAGGCTAGAAGTGAAGAGCCGAACGTTTTGAAGGATAATGTCTAACACTAACCCTTGTGCCTTCATCTCTGTTTAGATGATAGACAAGAGGTGTAGCAGGAGCCTCAGTGTCAGGGGCCCAGCGCTGGCCTTTCCTGCGACCCATGCTGCTGGTGCTGTGGCACGGGGCGGGAGTTCGGCTCGTGCACCGAGGAGTCCCGGGGTACCTAGACTGGCTGACTGAGTCTATGGGGAACTTCTGCTCCCACTCAGAGATACAAGAAGCTACTGAAGGATAGGATGAAGAGGAGGAGGGAGTGGAGGTAGAGCAATGGTCCTTAACTGCCCTAACATTGGCTCGGTTTTGGCTGAGAGGAGTTCGGCCAAAGTCCTGCAAAGTGATTATGGAAGGGGGAAAAGGTGAAGTGACTRCTAGGAGCTGCACAGAAAATTAAACAGTAAAACAAAACAACCGTGGTGAGCCCAGATTACGACAACAATGAGCAGCATGCAAAACATCCACATTAAACTGAATTAGAAGCATTATTTTAGAGCATGCTAATAAAACAAGCTGCTTAACTTACAGGAAGTGGAGTCGGGGAGGCAGAGCGTTTCTGGGGTGCGTTACGATCTTTATCTCTGGAGGGTCTCTCAGGTTTGGGTGGTGGTTCGGTTGGACGGCCGCCACCAGCACTGTTCTCCGTCACTATGGCTTTGAGCTGCTTCAGCTTTTCATCCTGCACCCACAGTTTGTTCTGCATTTCCAGCTGCTTGGCATTTACTCGCCTCTCCTGATTAAACAAACATACAAAAAAAATCTTAAAACAGGAAACTATAAAAATACATCCGTAAAAGTCAACAAAGTTTAATTTAATYTAAAAATAGCTTCCGATTAGGGCTGCACAATATAGTCCGTCCATCTGCTTTCTGCCGCTTATCCGGGATCGGGTCGCRAGGGCAGCAGCCTAAGCAGAGAGACCCAGACATCCGTCTCCCCAGCCACTTGGTCCAGCTCATCTGGGGGAATCCCAAGGTGTTCCCAGGGCAGCTGAGAAACACAGTCCCTCCAGCGTGTCCTGGGTCTTCCTCTGGGCCTCCTCACAGTGGCACGTGCCAGGAACACCTCACCAGAGAGGCGTCCAGGAGGCATCCTAACCAGATGCCCRAGCCACCTCAACTGGCTCCTCTCGACGTGGAGGAGCAGCGGCTCTACTGTGAGTCTCTCCTGGATGACTGAGCTCCTCACCCTATCTCTAAGGGAGAGCCCAGACACCCTGCAGAGGAAACTCATTTCGGCAGCTTGTATTCGCGAACTCGTTCTTTCGGTCACTACCCAAAGCTCGTGACCATAGATGAAGGTAGAAACGTAGACCGACCGTTAAATCAAGAGCTTTGCCTTCAGGCTCAGCTCTTGCTTCACCACGACAGACCGGTACAGCGCCCACATCACTGCAGACACAGCACCAATCCTCCAGTCAATCTCCTGCTCCATTCTTCCCTCATTCATGAACAAGACCCCGAAATACTTAAACTTATCCACTTGGGGCAAGACCGCCTCCCCGACCCAGATGAGGCATTCTACCCKTTTCCGGCTCAAGACCATGGTCTCGGATTTGGAGGCACCGATCCTCATCCCGGTCGCTTCACACTCGGCTGTGAACCGCTCCAGTGGGAGCTGGAGATCACGATCTGATGAAGCCAACAGGACCACATCATCCCAAAAAGCAGAGATGCGATCCTAAGGTCACCAAAACAGATCCCCTCAACACCTTGGCTGCGCCTAGAAATTCTGTCTATAAAAGTTATGAACAGAATTGGTGACAAGGGGCAACCTTGGCGGAGTCCAACTCTCACCAGAAACGAGTCCGACTTACCACCGGCAATGCAGACCAAGCTCTGGCAAAGGTCAAACAGGGACCCAACAGCCTGTATCAATGGGCCTGGTACCCCATACTCCCGGAGTACCCCCCACAGGAGTCCCCGAGGGACATGGTCGAATGCCTTCTCCAAATCCACAAAACACATGTAGAGTGGTTGGACAAACTCTCATGCACCCTCCAGGACCCTGCTGAGGGTGTAGAGYTGGTCCGCTGTTCCACAACCAGGACGAAAACCACACTGCTCTTCCTGAATCTGAGATTCAACTATCCGACGTACCCTCCTCTCCAGAACCCCCGAATAGACCTTACCAGGGAGGCTCAGAAGTGTGATCCCCACCTGCACAATATAATTATCGCAAATATATTGTCATCGCAATATCAGTGTGCGCACTATGTACATATCGCAAAGGACCGCTTGGAGTGCATTAATTGTTAATTATGTGTTTCAAGAGTTTTGAAGTTGAAGTTTTTTTCATGCTAATCCAATATTTAGCCAGTAGGTCAGAATCTCAGCAGCAAAACTCCACATCAAACACAAATGACTTTGCCAAAAAGGCTAAAAGTCACATTGAATCCGACATATGTATTAGAAAGTGAAGGCAAAAAGAAATATTGTACCCAATATTGTTATCACAAAATTTTCTAATATCGCACAGCCCTACTTTAGATGCTAAATTGTGCATTTCTAGATTCTAAATCCACAGTACGTTAAACTGACCAACTAGAAAACTGATGTCTAATTTCAGCTGATTTGGGTCATTCATTAGAAATATTATCATTTTATATCCTTTATTTACAGTTAGTCTCATTCAAAACACAATTCTTATTTTCAAGACAGACCTGTAAGAAAACAGAAATGAAACTAAAATAAAAACAACTRCTACTACTTAAAACAAAATAAACATCAACCAAACCACACTAAAATAATTTCAAACAAAAGCTACCCTAACTTTAAAAGTAACAAAAATAAAAAAAAGAAATCTCAGAAACAGGAGTGAGTGTTTATGGATGTGATCCTCAGTTCCAGTAAAATAATAATAAAATCGAATATTTAATTTGTGGAGAATGCTGCGTAGACTGTTGGTTTGTGTTTTGATAAAAACTACAAAAGAAAAAAAATCTATCTTAAAACTGGATTGTTAAGAAGTGAAATTGCACCACCGCCTGTTTGTTTCGTGCATACACACGTTAGTGTCTTTCCACTCAACCACATGTCATTTACTCAAAACATAGCTTATACACTGTCTGGCCAAAAAAAATACTAACTCAAAACAAATAAAATAAAAAATAAATGGTGACGTAAAAATATAAATGGATCTACTTACACACTCTTTCTCCCATTTCAGTTTGGTGTCTGTCACCACGCCCTGCATCCGCTGCTCCATGCGCCTCTTCTCTGATAACTCTTTCTGCAGCAGSTGCTCCCTGCCCTCCAGCTCCTGCTGAAGCAAGCGTTTGTCCTGTTCATACATCTCGGTTGTTTTCTGCAGGATGTCGATCTGAGAAAGACAGACGAAACGGGTAAAGAGGAATAAAACTGTCTTGGAAAAACAATTTGAATAAATAAAGTACAAATGGAGCAAAACCTTGTATTCCAGTGTCTTGGATTTCTTCTCTAATCGTTCAATCTCGGACTTCTGGTTGAGGATCACTTTGTCTTTCTCACTTAGTTTGTGCTGCTGGTCATGGAGGAAGGTCTCCTTCTCACCCAGTTGATTGTCAATCTGCTGAAGCATGGACTTCAGTGTATTTGCTGAGGAAAAAAAACTATGTAAATCACTTGGTTTGAAGCAGTTTTGACAAAAAAGTTTATAAAATCCGATAGGTGAATAAATCAAACAGGATGTTATCAGCAGAGGGGAAGAAAAAGTACCAGTTTGATTGACTTGTTTTGTTATCATCTGACGGATATGCTGTCGCCTTTCCAGGACCTCGATCAGACGTGGCAACGTTTGATCATCAGCGGGGTCCACCAGCTCACAGGGAGGCAGGGCTGGGAGGCTTTCAATCAGCTGGTTCAGCTCAGCTGGGTCGTCTACATGTGATAGGGAATAAACAATACAAATGCTTTGAAGGAATTTAGTTACCATGTACTTTTTATTCTTTTTCATTCTTGGTGGGGCGCTAAAAAAGGTTTAAACTGGTATAAAAGACCCTTCAGTGTTTTCTAGCAGTTTGACATTAATAGTGTTTACAGATTTGTTGCTACCTTCTGTCACTTTGTTACCAAAGCTGGATATAAGGAGAGAAAATGCTGTCTTGACCCAAACACAGAGAGAATAAACTTTTTAAAAGCAAAGCGCTCAGTTACTTCCTGTTTCAAAAAGGTGTGTTAAAACTTGACTTTGTAAATAATGGACTATGGTGTTATTTGTCTCTTGTCTTGCAATGCTCAGTATATCCTAGAGCTGCAGTAAAAGCTCTTGCATGATATGCTTGTTTGCCTTTAAATTGTTTTCAGCACATTATGCACAACTATAAATCCATAACTTCAAAACACAGTTTTCGAGATGCCCAAGACACGCGTATGACAAATCAGGAGCGTGATGAACAACACAGATTTAAAAAGTGATTATTTCACCTGCGGTACATGGACCTCCTCTCTCTTCCAGGCGCCGGGACAACTCATCTTTGAAAGCCTGGTTTCTCTGTCGTCGCCCTGCTGCGAGGCCGTAGATTGGCCGATCTACTGGCCGAGCAACCTCCACCTCCTGAGTCATTTCTGCAAAGCGCATCACCAGCTGCACCAAACACAAGTTTGTGCAAAAGAGGTTTTGGTGTTGTGGTTAGACTTCAGAGATTATAAATAATATCGAAAAAATTCAGGGAGCAACTTGACAGAGACATAAAAGAAAGGGACAAACTTGACTTTTAACATATAATGTGACTCCCTTATATTTTTAGCTTAAAAAGCATTTAACACGATCTAATCCTTGTGTATAATGTGACCCCTAATTTCATACAAACAGAATTTTTCGGCCTTTGCGGTGTCCCCTCTGGTGGTACAGCTGATTATTTGTAGGTGGAGGACACTCAGTGAAAGTAACAGCATGTCGCTGATAACGATTTGCTTGAAGTGTGGAAGCAAAACAAACAGCTTGGAGGAGCAGCTCGTCTGGTTCTATTGACCATGCAAATGTGCAACTAATGTCCAATAATTAAACATTTTTAAAAAGCAGTTTTTCCTCCGTAAACAACTCATCCAACAATAATTCAGTTATGGACAAGAAAATATTAAAATGTATTGTGGCACTACATTTGCAAAAAAAATCTGTTTTAGTTTACTCCTATGTATAATACAACCCAACTTTATGGAAGTTTTTTGGAGTCAAGTTTTTCTCACTGTACACGTAAATATACAGTAAATGATTCTGCAACACACACAAACAAAAGAATAGCCTACCACTGTTTCTTCATAATCCTCAGCCTTTGGGTTGACACACACAATCATCCTGACTTTTCCTTCTCCATCAAAGTAGTTTTTAAAAAGATGTGTCACTTTTGAGTCCCTGTATGGCACCATCTGGAACAAACAACAGATTTTTTCAGACAGTCCTGTTTGGACAAATGACTCTTTCAATAAATAAAGACTGTGTTTCGATCAGAGCACCAGAAAGGCTGAGTCAGCGATGGTTTGGTGATAAAATACCTTATTGGTTCCATACATCTGATTTTCACGCAGGGCCTCCATACATGTACGCAGAGTCATCAAAGACTGGTTAATATTACCTGCAAATGAAGCGGCGTTAGGGACAGTTAGTGCCAGAACTAAATGTAAATTATGAAGAAAAATAACTGGAAGAACTCGTTGAAAAATKCAGCTTAATGAATTAATGTATAAAACGGACCTGCTTCACGAAGACGGCTCCCTTCTGCTCTGGTTCTGTTGGTGCGTTCACTGCCCGCCAGATCCACCAGGCACAGCTGGCTCACATTCACCTGACTTTTATCCTGTTTAAAATGAAAAACAAAGAGTTTATGTAGAAAGTTCATTAAAACTGTTTTTTATTTACAGTGGGGAAAATAAATATTTAGTCAGTCACCAATTGTGCAAGTTCTCCCACTTAAAAAGATGTATATATCTATACTTATTTATAATATATATTATA